CGGAAGCCGTTAAGCTTATAAGCAACCTTGTCAGGATTTAGCAGAAGTGAAGAGGGACCTACTGGTTCCTGCCTCCCGAAAGGAGGCAAAGCAACAGCGGCTGTATTGTTGTGCTCGCTTTCTTAAACGCTTGCTTTGTTTCTTGATGACTGCTTCATGATTTCTTTGATATTCGCACCGTGGTATGAAACTGCCGCTGAAAGGAGCCGAGGCTGCAGACCTGGAACACTAAACGTGCCGCTACCGCAGCCTGCTGCCCCGGAAGGAGGGAGTGACAGTATTGCCTGTCACCTCGTGCCAGCTTCAGCAGCCTCTGGAGCCTTCACGAGCCGGTTCAGCTCACCTGGCACAAACGCTCACTGTTGAGCAGAGAGGGCGATGGTTTCCTGCCGGGCTAATGAATCAGATCAGAAGGTGGAAGGGTGCAGCGTATGCAAGAGAGGGACGGGAAGTTTGGTGGGGAGGGGAGGGGAGGGGAGAAAGAAAGACCTCTCTCTTTCAGCATCAGCAAGCTACTTGATCAGCCCAGCTGTCCAGAGAGTGTCAATCTTTTTGGGTGTGACTGTAAAGCAGTTTTGCTGAGAACGCTTCACGGTGAAGAACCGTTTCCAAGAAACGTTAGTCCTACAGCATATTAAAGCTTTCAGACTGCATGGTTGGCATTTGTCCCCAAAGCTGTTAGTGCCAGCATTTCCTCCTTTGTGTTTTAGCCGCTAAATGTGACCGGTTGTCATGTTTTGGGCAGTGGGTTTTTCTTTTCAGCAAGAGCATGCTATTAAGAAGGCTTTGGTCTAGCTCTGATGAGGTGATGACAAGGACTATAAAGCAGCTTTGTAATCACATGTCATAATTTGTACCTTTTTCAGTGAAGGTGACGCTGTGAGTTTACATCTGTTGCAGTTACTATTTCATGAGAGAAAACGCCTGGCATCAGGACAGGTCATGTACGAGGTAAGACGTGCACGTATGTCAAAAGCTGAAAACAGTAATTTCCTCTTCGTGAGTAGCAGTTGAGTTGGCTGGGCTAATACTTGCCGTCAAAACTCAGAGCTGACTAAAAAAAAATGTTTTGCCGAGTCTTCTTGGGCGTGGCCTTTGTCCGTACTTCTTGAGAACAAGTCATACAACTTCACACTGCAGTGTCGTGTGTTCCAACTAGATTCGTCTGCAAAGAGCCCATATACATGCAACTCCCGAAGAGGCAGCAGCTTTTCCAAATAAAATTCTTCTTAACTGAAGATGTGAGTAGCACCAGATTTTCACCTCAGAGAGCTGAGGTCCTTCAGCAGCCTTTAAGAATGGGTCTACTAGAAATTCTGCTTGGCACCGTTTTTAAAAAAGCACACCAAAGGATTGAATAATGTTGTTGTGTTTGTGACCTGAGAAAGCTGTGGTGTAATTACTGTAAGACTTCCTGACCCTCTGCAGACTGTCCAATCAGTAGTACATTCACAGGCTTCCAGCAGGTGTCAGGCACCAGTCTCTGGGTTGAGATATTTTACTCCCTCTGCTTCCCTGTGCTGAGTGCTGTGGAAGATTGAAACAGGAACCAATCTCGGGAGGGAGTTGAAGAAGGAACTAAACAGCTGGAGCCTCCGGGGAGAAAAGATGGGTTCTTCAGCTCGCTTCCAGATGAGCCGTGTAGCTTCGTACTGAGACCTGATGATACCTACTGCCCCCCAAAACAACTCCCAAGCCCCCTCCCCAAACCCCAAAGATGCATTAAGCCAGGCCCTGTGCTCGACGGTGGACACTTTCAGTCTCAGAATACTTCCTTGTAGTCAGAGATTGGTCAGTACCACATGGCTCTCTGCCTATATGACTGGCTGAGTCAAGATCCTTGTCCATCTTCCATGGCAGAAAGTGTAAGAGTTGTTCCCGATTGCCAGGCCAAGTTTGAGTAAACAAAGAGGAAGCTAGCGTTGACCCTCGTTCATTGAATAGAATTCAGAGGAAGTTGAAAGACTTGTGTCTACTACAGCAGTGCTTTACTTTCCAGGAATCAGACTTGAGGCTATGAGACAGTGCAACTGACTTCTTACCATGGTAAAAAGTCACAAATAGGAGTTTTGGAACATGTGGCACTGTAGTTTTGTAAATAAGCATCAGAGTTGTGTCTCCACTGCCTTCAGGGCTGGTTTAAGCCTGTGCTCAAGCAATTAATGTAACGGAATGTTGAAGTTATGCTTACAAAGATCATTTTTATGCCATCTCGGGAGTTGGTAAATCTAGTGCCCCCAGGCGTGGCCATGCAGCACATCTTGGCCCTTGTCCTACACAGTGCCTGCGGCTGGACAGAGTATAGAGGCTCTGCTTTCATATCCGAGTCTGACCAGCGCATCTCGTTTGAAAACTGTCCTTGTAGTTTACTGGTCCACAAAGTAATTACTTAACACCTTCCATACAGCGGAGTTGCTCAGCTTAGATTTGCTTGCCCCAGTGGAAAATGTAAAATACAGTGGTTTGCTTCAGAAGGTGTCTCAGGCAGGAACTGGTATCTTCTTTCCCTTCCCCTCTGCCCCAACTCTGTGGCTGTTCATAGATGAATAAGAGAGGAAATTGATAGCCGTTCAAATTAATCTCCAAAAGGCTTATGGAGTTTGAGGACTTTATCTGATGCAACGGTCTTTTGGAATGATGGACTTCTCATTCTGGACAACATCATTTATTATAAACTGGTTTTAGTGATCGTTCCTTCTGTAATGAAAACGGGATCGGTTGCTTGGGCTTCATGCTAGTTTTTCAAAGAGGTGGTTTTGGCTTCTCTACTCTGCACGTGTCTGGTGGTGTCTGTTATTGCAGAAGTTACTTGATAAAATAGAATGAACTGTGCGTGCTTCAGAGCATAATTCAGCATTTTTCTTTTCAGTAATGAAAGACCCTTTTTTTTTTTTTTTTTTAAAGCCAGCCTTGATACTTATTAGTAGTATTTCCTAGAACGGTTAAGAGGAGGTTTGTCTCTTCTCAGATTAGGTGATTTAGGTGTATCATATCAAATCCTATGGGAGTGTACTGTGTCGTACCAGTTCATTTTAGAGCTCTGAAAGTTTAGGAAACTTCGGTAGAGTGTGGTACAATTGATTGTTGTGTTGGTTTTCCTTGGTGGTAGTATTTTGTGTGTTAGGTGGGAGGGGGTGTTGGTGAGTTGTTTTTTTGTTTTTGTTTTTGTTTTTGTTTTAAATTGTAGAGCTGCTATTTGTCAATACACACAATGATGTGTTGCATGGTAGACAGCCTGAACAAATTCTGTATTTGGAAAGACAGTATTTCAATTAATGCTTCCCTAGGAAAAGGTGGTATCAGAGGTTCAGCACAATCCTGCTGGGGTTTCGGTATATCTCAAAGTAGTTTGCTGGCTCTGTAGTAATTCATGATCCTAAACGCCTTGGCCGCGTGCCTCCCACATCCTCTCTGCTTCCCCTTTTGCTGGTGGCCGTGCTTGATGAAGGAACCGGGGGATATTTCACCCATTAGTGTGACAAGATTAGAGGAGGAGCTGGTAAAAGCTTATGTGGTTTGAAAGGAGACGGTTACTCGGTAAGAAGTCCTCACAGCTACTACAGAGGGATGTGTTTTCGCTCTGGTGGTGTGCCAGTAGATAACACCTCTTGACAGAGCTTCAGCTGCTGTAGTGCCAAGACTTCTCTAACATCCTCAGTCCTGTAATCAAGAGCAAAGAGCTTTGCATGCGTATGTATCGCCTGATTTCAGATACCTCTTTGTAGATCTGTCCTCCGGTTTGTAAAGAAACCCTGGTGTTGCAAGGATTTCTGCAAAACATGATTAGAACCGAATAATGATAGGGGAATGCTAAATTTTGAAAATGTGCAAAGCCTTTACAGCCAAAGATACCCCTTAGGATTTGACGCTTGATTCTCTTGCGTGCCAGATGTTGTTTCTGTTTGCCATCAGAAAGAAGCTCATGGGAAAACACAGTATAAGGTGCATATTATGTTACATTCTGGTACATAGATTCTTTCATATCGCCAAAGTGACCTTTTGTCTCTCCTTTTTTCCCCAGGGTTTGGAATACTGTGACGAAAGGTTCAGTTTAGATCTCACGTGTGGAGTCTTTCCCTGGAGAGGGCCGACCGGCAATACCAAATTTCTGAGCTGCCAGACTGTAGAAAAATTTCCCAAGCCGGTTGACGGAGAGGATAGCGTTAATGAAGGTTTGTTCTGATGTCCGTGCTTGGTTATTCTAAAAAAGTAGTTTGGGAATCTAAGCAGTGAATGTTGTTCTGTACCCACAGAAAGTCAGAAAGTCTTGAGTATCTGTAGAGACGAGCTTGTTGGGCTTATTTAAATAGACAAAAGGGTTGCTTGAGTTTTGTGGGACTTCCTTAAGGGGGAAATTGGGGTTTATTTTGTGCTTGCTGACATGCTATAGCACTGTATAGTAGGGCCATCTCTGCAACGTTTGTCAGTCATTTTATTCCTCCAGCTGTCTTCTTGGAAAAAGAAGATCATTCTCTGCGTTGCTTAGGAATGTGATCTGAATATTTTTTTTTTCCCTGTTCACACCTATGTCTGTATCTGCACCCAGCTGGCGGCCACTCACAAGTGGTGTTCCCCAGGCCTCAGCATTGGGGCCAGTTCTGTTTAAGATCTGTATCAGCGATCTGGATGAGGGGATCGAGTGCACTTGGGTCACAACAACCCCACGCAACGCTACAGGCTTGGGGCAGAGTGGCTGGAGAGCTGCCCAGCGGGAAAGGACCTGGGGGTGTCGGTCGGCAGCCGGCTGAATGTGAGCCAGAGGTGTGCCCAGGTGGCCAAGGCGGCCAAAGCATCCTGGCTTGTATCAGCAATAGTGTGGCCAGCAGGACTGGGGCAGTGACCGTCCCCCGGTACGCAGCCCCGGTGAGGCCGCACCTTGAAGTTGAAGGTTCTGGAGAACAAGTCTTAGGAGGAGCGACTGAGGGAGCAGGGGTTGTTTAGCCAGGAGAAAAGGAGGCTGAGGGAGAGCTTGTCGCTCTCTACAGCTACTTGAAAGGAGGTGGGAGCAGGGTCGGGGTTGGTCTCTTCTCCCAGGTGTCATGGATGGGTATACTAACATGGTAATAGTTTGGCAGCAAATTGAGATTTATTAATGAGTAGCAGCACTTAATCATTAACCACCTGAATGATTTACAAAATAATTCAGTAAAATACGTTATGATTAAAATAGTGACTTAACTGTACAGATTCAAAAATGACAAGAATCGCAATGACTTACTGTGTGGTATCCTAAATCTATCTCTCCATCTCTCTATCTCTCTCTCTATCTCTCTCTCTCTATCCGTATACCTATCTGTCTGTCTATCTGTCTGTCTGTCTATCGATCTATCTACGTATCTATCTATCTATCTAAGTACATATGTTTATTCATAAACACAAGATGTACAAACACACAGACAGACAAAAATATTTGGATCCAGTGAAATTGTATGTACCCACACTCGTAAAAACAACTGTGTATACCCAAACACATAGATAAGTAGAGAGGCGGGTGAAGAAAAGCTAGCCTACGGTTAAAATTTCCCTCTTCTCAAGCTTAGAGCAAATACTTGCAAAGCATCATCATTCCTCAACAGCCAATAACTGAGACCCGAGGGGGGCGACTTTGCCCAGCCCATCATTGGCTTCGACAGCAGACGGTGCCTCGAGGAGTTGATAGCTGAGAGGCGTCCCAACTCAGGGGAGATGCTGGTCACAGGCCCACTGCGATCCAGGAGAAGAGCTCAGAGGGTCTCACCTGGGGTCACTGTTTATGGGCTCCAGGATAACTGACTTTCGTTAGGGACTTTTCCACTCTGGCCCAGCTCCCATGATGAGCTATTTGGGTGTTTTCCACCAGTTGCGCAGGCCCAGAACTTGCTGGATGCGCAGTGCTGTTATTGCCCTCCCTCGGCCACTTGCCAGGTACAGAGGTACTAGTCTGTCAGGAGGTGATGGACTGTTACTCCTGCTCCCAGGTGATAGGGAGAGCAGGATCCAGGATGCAGCGGTAGCTTTCCTTGCCATGTACACAGTTAAAACTCTTATGGTGTCTTTCATTATCTTGCAGTAATTAAATATACCTCTCTGGGTTTACAAATCCAGTTACGCTCTGACCATATCTTCGAGCCTGCTGCAGTGATAACTTGCATAGCCGTTTGTTTTGACTGCGTTAGTCACCTTCCCCCGCTTCTTACGGGCCTTGACTTCTGTCTGGTGTCACAAAGACACTTGCATGACCTTTCTAGGCTATTTCTGCTGATTGTCTTTGACTTAGTCCTGAAGCGGCAACTTCCGTGTCTTTTGTGATGCCATCCTCGAGCAACGGTGTGTCAAAATCTAATCAAAGCACCTTTGGATTTTCTCCACTTGTGCCATGTTTCTGAGAGGAGTGCCTTCTAAAAACCTGTTGGAAACAAAAAAAACACCACCCCCAACACCCCCAAGAAAACCAAAAAAAAACCCAAACGGCAACAAAAAAACCCTTTCTGCCTCCTTTTTCTGAAGTATGAGGCATGGAAAAAATACCTGTAACTTTTGTTTCTGTATTTGTTTTGTGTGATAATTGTGTTCTTTCGGTGCGGACATGCAGGAGAGGAGCTGTTCTGAAAATGTGTGGTTGAGACAAAGCTGGAAATTAGTAATGCTGGCTAAGTGATACAAGTGTATACGATGACTATTTGTGTGCTTTCTAAAAGAAGCAGTGTCTGTGTTCCTAGCATATTTTTTTTTTGCTCAGCTGTTCATCTAGCTAAATGTCTTGTTCAACTCTTAATGCGTGGCAAACTTAATAAGCTACTAATTATGTATCTGATTTGGCTTGGAACGGATACAATCCGAACAAGAAAAAGGGGCAGGATGCCTGGAACCTGTCACAGAGGTGTTTGCTACTCCGTGAATTGTTTTTCTTATTCTTAGTCAGTGTTGTTTTTGCATGAGTGGTAGAACAGAATTAAACCAAACTAGGAAGCGGTGCTTTAAAAATATCGGATACGGCATGTTTTCTACAATAAGAAACAACGTCTTGTCTTTTACAGTAATATCTCCTGAGACCAGTGTATCAGTCTTCAGCTGGCAAGTGAATACGTATGGTGAGGGAAAGCCATCTACTTACTTGGGTGTATTTGACATTAACCGCTGGTATCACGCTCAAATGCCAGATTCACTGAGGTAGATTTTCTTAGCTTCTTTTCAGTGTCCCCCCAGATAATTCATCTGAAAGTTGGCATTTAGCTTATGCACTTGTTTTCTTTAAGGCCGGAAGAACTCCTTCACGACTGCCCCTATTTTGCGCTGTGGTCACTGGATACTGGACTAAGTATGACTTCTCCAAGCCTCGTTTTGGATATTCGAGTACGTGAGCAGAGTCTCTGTCGCGGAGTGCCTCCTTCCTATCCACCACCTGATCAGTTTTTTAATCCAAGCTCCTATAATTTTGGTAGGTATTTCACTGCTTTTTATAGTGATAAGCTCAAACTGAGGTCAGATGACATGAAATAGTTCTCTTGTTCTCTGTCACTCGAAAACCAAACCCAAACCCCCAAACCCCCAGCTCCCACAAACCCAACTCAAATTACGTTGCACTAAGGTGGGATTTAAAATTGTGAAACACATCCGAGAGTGTGCTGAGTTTTGGGGTTTGGTGCTTTTATGATAGAGCCTGCGAAGAGGTGATGGTTATAAAATGAAATGACTTTGAACTGAAGCTCAAAGCACAGCACCTCGATTGCGCTAGAGATGAAAGTTCTAGACGCAGTAATTATTTTTTTAAAAAGTCTGTAAGTGATCTGGTGAGGAAGATGGGCACTGAGATCTGTCTTTCCAGATACTGCTGTTTAAAAACTGTAAACTGGTCATAACGTAACTGTGAGCGTATGGAAGCTTGTCAAATGTTGGTTGTTTCTGCAGATGGTACGTGCTTGCTGAACTCCGGAGTTGTCCATATGACTTGCACCAGCTTCCAGAAGGAGGTGATCATTTACCGAATCTTTATTGAGAATGTGAAGAGATGGACCTTTTCCAAGTTTTCTCCTGCACTGCTTTCACTGTCAGAGATGGGTTTATGCTCGTCCTGCCCACCACACGCATAATTGCAGTTGTACCCTGCCAGTTTTATGCAAATGAGAATGTTTTCAGTCTGCTCTTGGAACTGTAAAGTGAGCACTGCCTCCTGATGAAGCGCGATCCGAGACTGAACGTCTAGAAGGGAATACAACGTTGCTCTAGGAGCAAGAACAAAAGCGTTCCTAAGAAGAAAGCTGTTTCTTCTCTATTACCCTTCAGTCGCACTGCCTGTGTAGTCTTGAGTTAGGGTTTTGATCCCTGGTCTGCTTGAAAAAGGAGGACAGAATGGAGAAAGTGAAAAACTGTGTTTGAGAAGTATTTGAGAAGAAATTTTTTTTTTTTTTTTTCCCGACCCTGGCCAAATTCTAACTTCCAAGCCAGGGCACAGCTTGTGGCAAATAATTTTGAATTAAGTTTCAGCTCACTACGTATTGCCAACATAAATCAGCCTCTGCACAGAGAGGCTTATAAAGGCTCATGCAAAGCGTGATTTGAAGTTGTGTGTTAGTTTTAGCTTGTACAGAAAGTAATTTGTGTCAGTGTTCAGGGAAAAAGAAAGGCCCGTGTTTTGACAGAGAAGGGAGAAAATACTTAAGCATTGCAAGGGCCAATATTTTGTTTTACAGGATTTTTTTTTAGAAACTGTAACTGCTAGTTTGGCTGCCGTCCTTACGACTCTACGTAGTAATGCTTACTCGGATTGCTAACGCAAAGCATATTGCTGATGTGAGCTTCCCGAGAGTCTAAGTGAACAATTATCCTATTTCTCTTAGTGGTTAGCCAGACCCTTAGTGACTGAATAATACTGCTGTCTTAATCTGTAGTTTTTGATTGACGTTTCAGACCTTGAATTTTTTGAAGAAATCTGGTCCTTTAATACGTGAAGCCATTCATGATAGCTGCAAGAGGTGTCTTGCAGCTGGCTGTCTGTCTCCCAGGCCAGCTGATGTCCAGCCACCCAGTTTGGGTCAGGTGTCTGCCTATGAGGGAATCAAGGGGGAAATACATCCATCTTGCCTGACAGGGCTGTAGAGGCTACAAGACGTGGTAACCTGATGTTCCCATTATTTGCGAGTTGCACTGAGCTGCAGGTGTTGGCTTTAGTCAGCAGAAGTGATAGTACTCTTAGATCCAAACTAGGGAGTTTGACGGGGAACAGCCCTGATAGGCCTGTCTCTAGAGACCCGTCTATAAATTCTGTGCCACAGATACGCGCAAGGAAGCGTGCAGGCCGTGCTGGTCATGCGCAACACAAAGCATCTTTGCCTCAGACCCCCCGTGGCCCCCGTCGGTGTCTCCGAGCGTTGGGCTCAGTGCAGCAGCTGACGACGGGGGGGTCTCACTGGGATGCGAGCTGTTGCAAACATCAGCTGGCTGCACCAGACATGATCACCTGCTCCCAAGGAAGTGGGCTGTGGTAAACAATTACTGCTGCCAGCTCCAGTACAGCCGGCACGTCGTCCCGTAACTTCATGAATGACTTGCTGCTGTTCTGTGCAGTGCACTCGCTGTAATTAGTTAACTGCTTTACGCTTTTTATTCATCAGAATGATCGCCATCCTCGCTTCAGAGAGGGGGCATGTGCCAGAAAGTCTGAATTACGCCCATATCGGAAGATCCTTCCTAGAGTTCAAAGGCAGCTGGCTGCAGAGAGAGCCAGGCCTTACCATTTGCCTTCGTCGGCCTTAAGAGGAGGTAATTTTTAGCGCGGGGAATACAGCGGTCAAGAAACGCTCACTTTGATAACACAAGGCTGATAGGTTTTCCCTTGTGCTTTACAGTTGCGAGACCAAAGCCAGTATCAAGAGCAAGAAAACCAGCCAATTCAGGATATCTGGATATCATAGCAACTTTCATGAGTAATGTGTTATCCAGAATTGGAGCAGCATGGGCAGGAAATGAGCAGAAAACCTTTCCTCACGATATGATAGGTAAGCAGCCTTTTCACAAAGTTCAGTTTTGAGCTACGTGTGTGGAGAGGAATAGCGAAAAATCCATTTGGATTATGTTAGTATTCTGGAAGGAAGGTGTACCTGAATAAACTTTGATTGGCTTTTTTGTAATCAGTTCATCCAAAGTAATATTTGGAGAGAGACTTTTTCGGCTATGATAATCTTATTTAGGCCAAGACCTATACTGACACGATGGTAAATGTGTTTTCAAGAATTTAAGACAGCTGAAACTAGAACTGTGGTTGCCACCAAGCTCTCGGTGTACTGCTTTTGAGACACTTGGTTATGTGGCCAAACAGGGATCTTTGACCGCTTCCTGCCCAGTGTCTGCTTCGTTTCTGCCTTCCTTCCTTCTTAACATCGGGCGGAATTGTAACGAGCGGAAAAGAGGCTGGTGGTTGTCAGATGATTTTCCTTCAGGGGCGATGGTCAAATAAACCTGAATTCCGGTATGTTTGGACTTCAGGGGAGTGAAAGTCAGTTACCTTTCCCTGTTTGTTCTAGTGCTAGAGCTGCAGAGCCACCAGCCGTACCTCGTCCTCTCCCTGAGGCAGAGTTGCAGTGTGGTTTTTGGGACACTAGGGACACAAATATCAGTATATGTTGGGGGGGTTTTTGTCTTCCCTTTACAAAAACCACCTGCATGTTATTGACTGTGAGGTTTTGTTGGCTTTTTTTTTTGTATTTTAATAAAGGTAACCAACGATGATATAGCACTGCCTGGGGATTCATGGGAGCATCATCATGGAATGGCGGAGGATGCATCGTCTGAGACTAGAGATAAGGCAACTGTGCTTACTCTGAGCAATCCTGAGGAGGATCGTGCTGAAGTGGAAGCGTTTTCAAAAAGCATACCTGGAGATGGTTTGGAGAAAATGGATGTCAGCAAAGAAAACAGCAACTTCTCTGCCCGTTCAGACCAAACTACTTTGGAGTATCACGATGCAAAATCACCTGGCGGTTTTTCATCTGTTCCCATGTGCCGAATCGCAAATAGCTTAGCTGTTGATTTCTGGTGGCGAAAAAACAAGCTACAGGCAGCAGCCAGCCCGTGTTTTCTCATGAGTTGATAGGCAGTGCTTTTCACCTCTTAGTCTAGGCCAATCTGAAAATACTATGAAATTGTAGACTCTCAAGTAAGAAGGTAGCAGTTTTTTCTTATTTTGTTGGTACTTTTGTCTTCTGTGCAAAACTTGCAGGTTTCCAATCCAGGAATGCTTTTTTTTTTCTCGGCAAAGTAGTCCAGGTAACGAGTCTCTTGGATGTGCTTGGAGATAAATGTTCTGTGGTTCCTGTTGAATTCAAGCCGTTCCTAAAATAAATGTGTTTTTCAAAGCCCTCTGCCGTGTGGATGACCAGTATGCGAGGGAGAGGGAAAAATGCAAGTTACAGTTACCGACGTGTCCGTTGGTTCAGGTCGCTTCCTCCTTGGCTGTGTATCCCCTGGCATAGTTTAAGAGCAGGCTTATCCCACAGCAGTCCTTGCTGTGGTGTGCCTTGCTGTTCAACTTGGCTTAAATGCAGACAAAAGCAGGAGCTATCGCTGGGTGACCGATCGCTTGCCTTTTGGTGCTACAACCGTATTTTCAGTACACAGAGAAGGGTGCAGGGAAGTAGTGTGTGATTTCTGTGAGCACCAACAGCACAAGCATATGTGGCCCTCAGAATCCAGGGCGCTGGAAGGCCTTTACGTTTCATCTAGCCTAGTGGTCTCGTAGTGGCTTCCGAAAGGGCGAGAACGGTATGCTCGTCTCAGCCGGATCCAACAGCTATGCAGGCCAGGTAAGATTTTACTCAAAGAACCAACTACAAGCAGTTGTAGCTAATACACGGTCGTAGACTGCTCATTTAGTTTATCTCCCATTATTAACGTTCATGTAAGCGTACTGCAGGTGACTGGCACGGGTCGGTTTACTGGTTGGAAGCCTTACCTAGCTTTTGCCTACGCTCCCGTCATCCCGGAACTCGGTATTACTTTCAAGCACGTTTGCAAATCTTGATTCAACCTGTTAGTGGGGGCACGCGTCCCGGGCAGCAGTGCTTGTGTATGCGTTTGCTTGCTCATCTGTGAAGAGGATGCACTCGATCGTTGTTTAGAGCGAGGTGTTGTGTGATCTGGCCCAAGGAGCGCTGGAGAACGCCTGGCAAGGTTATAACGCTGCTCTGCTGGCGTACGGGCAGGCCGGCTCGGGAAGAGCTGTTGGACGATCGGCTGCGCTGCAAACAGAGGCCCGGTGCCCGTTGTGTGCAAAGAGCTCTTCAAAGCCACCCAGCATTGGGAAAAGTACAAGCAGTGCCAGGTGGGATTAGCGCAAAGTGTCACTTCTTTCCAAGACCTTTCCAGGCGGTACTTTAAAAGGCTGGGTTACTCTCAAATCGGAAAAATGGGAACCGTGACTCTGGAGCAGCTTCCGGTACAAGACAGAGTGGATCCTCTAAAATACTGTGGGAAACAAAGTTGAGGTAGTACAGCTGGATTTACAGATGGGTATGCATGAGAAAGTCTTTCCAGCACCTCGGTAAGGAAAATTAATGCCGCCTTCTATACAGCTTCATAGGGTACAGAAGCTTTACAGTGCCGCGCCTCTCCGCTACAGCAGAGGCCAAGTTTTCAGCCATGCAGTACAGCTTTTGTAGCTGCTGGATGCTCCCACTCCATCAGCATCCTGCGCTGGTTGTCCAGCGGATTCGAGCACTGCTGGAAGCAGAAAGCTTCACGCCCGTGCAGCAGGGCCGTCTGTCTGTGAGAGTACTGCCCTGGTTACTGAGGGCTGCTTGCGATTTACTCCTGTGTTCCTTCCCCTTCAGAAAGTGCTTTGTCCTCCCAAACCAGCCTCCCCCGCTGTGTGCCAGCAGGAACGACGCAGGGATGCCGTTTGTGAACGTGTTTCTGTGGAAACTCATTCCTTCCCATCTCGCTTGCCGTACCAATGTGGAAATGAAATCCCTATCTGTAGTCGAGTGTTGGAGAATGGCTCAGAGACAAGGGTCCTGAGCCCACCGAGCAATTGTACGATCAGAGCCTGCTCTAGCTGCTGATGCTGGGCCTCACTAGGGTTTGCTTGCAGCTGCTCGCAGCTGCTGATACCTGAGGAATGTCAAGGACACTTCAGCCTTGTGTACCGTGGTGTGTCGAAAACAGGTTGAGAGGAATTAGGAATAGTGGTCTAAGAAACCTAGTGTTATGATAACGGTGGTCTGAGAAACATTGTGTTACGGTACTGTTGTGTATCGAAAACAAGTAAACAGGAATCAGAAATAGTAGCGTGAGAAACTTAGTGTTATGAGAAACTTGTGCTGTAAGCTAACTGCAAGTAGGTGGACCGTGAGAATACGACCCTTAGAGCTTAAGCCAATCAGCTAGTGACTAGTAGGCATAATTAGTAGAAGGATTATAAAAGGCTGTAATGAAAATCAATAAACTGAAGCACACTTTATCACTCATACTGAGTCGGCTACGTTCTTCCTCCTTGGCCTGAGTCCTCGGCTCGCCCAGCCCGGCAGTCGAGTTACTCCTATTACGCACAGTTCTTGGACAGAGGAAAAAAAGCATGTCGTGGCTCTTTATTTTTACGTTTGATTTTGAACCATAGCCTTGCTGCTACTGACTGACCAGATTTTGTTTTGAAGTCAGCAGATTGAGGCCTCCTCTCCGGCTTGTTGCGATTCAAGCTCGCGAGTGACACCGCGGGCGTGCTGTCACTCCGGGGGTTCCCACGCACGCCCTTCGTTTACAGAGCCCCAGGAGTCAGCATGGCCTCAAGCCCAGCTATCTTCTGTGCCCCCACCCTGGGCTCCCTCCCTCACCGCTGGCTGAGACACCCGGTCTTCCCAGAGACGGGTTTTCCTCCTGCTCACTGGCTAGCCCACCCTCGAGTCTGCCAGCAGTTTAGTCCCCGCTGTACTAAAAAGATGTGGGCAGGCTGGAGAGGGTCCAGAAAAGGGCCACAAAGATGATCAAAGGACTGGGAAGCCTGCCAAGTGAGGAAGGGCCGAGAGGGGACTGACAAGTACAAATGCAAAATACCAAAGGTGTTAATTTTCAGATACATTCCTTGAGGATTTCAACGGGTGGCTTTAACTACTTGACCGGAATCGGGCGGGTTGGTCTTCCTCTGCTCGGTACTTTTACTGAAGGAAAGGGCGGTGACTGTGACTTCTCGGCAGTTTTCAGTCTTCTGCTGGACCTTTGCTTAAGTCCTCTTGCGTTTCTCTTCCAGGGAGCCATGGCCTGGCGTGGCAGGCGTGTGGTCCTCAACTCCAGGCGGTGAGCTCTGTGACAGGAGCGCGGCTCTCTGCGTACCGTTTCCAGGGAGCAAATAAACAGCCTCCCACTGTGCGTGTGGTAAAGGAGTTTTCCTGGCAGAAGAGAACTGGGCTGCTGGTTGGCTTGGAAGAAGCAGAGGGAAGCGTTCTCTGTCTGTACGACCTGTGGATTTGTGGTCAGTCCAGAAAGTTCTGCAGCGTGACGATTGCTGCCGGTCGTGTGTGCAGCTTGTGTTGTGAAACTGCTCACGTTCACGGGTGGTGGCAAATCGTTATCCAGGAACAGAAAGAGCAGAAATGGAGCGTGTCATTGCATAAATGGAATAGTCTGTTCTCTGTCCCTTAAACGCATGAACTGTTATCTGTGGCAGGGAGTAGATTGTATGTTTCCCACTTTACACGTGGTGGTGGTCTGAAAGGAAAAGCAGCATTTCACTGTCCTCAGTTTCACGAAGCTCAGCTTGAAGTTAGTCTGTCTGGTAATTAAGAATGCATTAACAGACATTTTTTACCTTCAGGTTATTGAAGATAGTGTGGGTACGGCAGAAACCTCAGAAGCAGCTCCTGAAACATCGCCGTGTAGTGAGCTCCATCCACCAGGCAATCTTCAACACAGCTGTGCTGCTTCAGAGCAACAGATTGAACGTGAATTGCCAGCTAGTGACGATGGTGAATGTGATGCAGCTGA